GGACGGGGCTCCACCATCCCCGGTTCAGCGGCTCCACCGCCCCCGGTTCAGCGGCTCCACCGCCCCCCGGTTCAGCGGCTCCTCCTGCGTGGCCCCCCGAGAGGCTCCCTGCTCTTACCGGGCGGCCCGGTGCCGTTCGCCCGCCCCCAGGCGTTATCCCGGGGCCCACTCCAGCAGCTGTCACCGAGCCGGCCCGACAGCCAGCGAGGGACTCGCGGCACGACGAGCACTTGGGGAATTTCTCTTGTGTCTCCTGGACCAGTTATTTATAGGAATCTCCAAATCCATCCAGTCCAGCTGCCCTTGGACTGCACAGTGACCCTGTCCCGACCAGGGATTCCTCAGCACCCCGGGAGCAGGACATGCACCCTGTCCCCTCCCAGCTCCCAGTGCTCGGCAGACTGAAAATACTCTGAACAGAATGGGAGTGACACATGAACCCACAGGTGAGCTCCCACCTCAACCCAAACTTGGAGCTGCTCCTGGCAGAGGTACAAGCTGTGGATTCGGGTTTTGGACACCGGCATGAATTTGGTATTTTCCTGAAGTGTAAGGCAGACCACAGTCAATTTAATTCTCCTCCAGCCTCAGTGCAGGGCTGGGCACACGGGCCCTGGGCAGGATTTGCCCCTGCAGCCTCAGGAGGCAAGTGAGGGCTCCCAGCACAAGCTCAGTGAGTTGGGATCACAAACCCATGGAGAGCCCTCAGTGTCAGCCTGCCCGAGACTCCCCACACCCACTCCAGGTGAAACCAGACATTTCCTTCCCCCTCTGCATGGTGACAGCCTGCCAGGGCCAGGACACCCTGGCAGAGCCTGACGGTGCCACAGCAGAGCGTTACACAGAGCACATCTGTCACCCACACCCTAGTGACACTCTCCCCCTGCCATCAGCTGTGACACAGTCCCAACAATGCTCAGGGACCAGCCCAAAGCAAGGCCCAGCCTCCCTGCAAAGCTGGGAAGAGCCAAGAAGACACAAGACAGCCCTGGGGTATAGGACAGCTGGATGTGGGCTCCTGACAGCCCAACAGCCATCACCAGCAGCCAGTGCTCCCCCTAAGGCTGAGAGGTTTCTCCAGGGAAGAGAAGGGCTCCGCTGTCCTTTCCCTGCCTCCCACACCAACATTGGACCCAGGGCACAAAGAAAGGGCCAGTCCATGGTTTTCTGCCCCCCACACCAGCATCTACTCAGGTCCTGCTGCAGCCCTGACAGGCAAAAGCAGCTCCTACTCAGTGTAGGCTTGGGAAGAATGGTGCAGGTGGATAGAGCTGGACCACAAAGTTCCTTTCATCCCTCTCCTTCCCCCCACAGGGCACAGTGGAACAACCCCAGGCAGCTGCTGTCGGGCCAAACCCAGATGAGGTGCTTTATTCACTTCATCTTTATTTTTCACAAAGACTGTACAAAATTCTTATAAAACTCTGGTGTGGGGATGGGCTATGACATTGATCCAAAAAATAATTCCCATGCAGTCCCACCAGTTCCATAACTTACAAGGAAACAGATAAGCTACAGAGAGCTGCGAGTCCTGGAGTATTTACACCGAGGAGGGCAGGAACGGGAGACAAAGCAACACGAGAGGTATTTACAGCACGGACACACAGGCCCCCTCACCTCACGAGAACGGCAGCAGCGACAGCAGGTCAGGCCCGTGGTGCTCCGAAGCCGACAGAGAATCTGGGCTATTTACAGTATCTCACATATTAACAGCTTTACAAATGTGTCCAGGAAGTTCATCTCATGTATAAAAAAAAAAAAGCACCAAGTGTCTGAATAGAAATCACACAGGCCTCCACGGGGGCTAGAATCCGAGGGCTGGCTGGCACCTGTGGCGTCACCGGCTGATGTCCCGGCTCGAGTCCCACATTTTTGTGCTGGGCTCCATGCCCAGCATGTCAAAGAAGGGGTGCTTGAGGGCCTCGGCCAGGGTGACACGCTTGGACGGCTCGTACTCCAGCATGCTCTCGATGAGGTCGAACAGGCGGTGATGGTCCTCGGCCTCCGAGGTCAGGTATCGCTGCCAGGTGGAGGGGGAAGGTGAGGTTCAAGGAGGCTAGACCCTGTCCTGGGATGTTCCCTGGGCTCACAGGCTAAGCTGGGGAAAGGCTGGTTTGTTCAGACCATCACTCAGCCTGGAGCTGAACTCTGTGCTCCTCTACCCAGAACTGACAGATTTTCATGCACCCTCCCTTCCCCAGGCACTTCCTGAACTTTCCACGCCCTCCTTGTCCTCCACTTCAGATTAAACTCAGGTTGCTGCAGCTTCCAATTCCTGGGACAGCCAAGGCTCCCCTCAACCACACTGGTCTGAGCCTTCTGCTGGCCCAAGCTTGCCCAGAGGGAGAATCTGAGGAGGGGCCGAGCTGCCTTACCCGCAGTGGTTTGCAGTTCTCCCGGACATAGCGTCCAGCTGAGGTGTTCTCATCCCAGTCCAGGCGGCCGTGGTAGAAATATTTCTGTTTCCTGTCAGAGGAACAGGTGGGAACAGGTTACACCTGAGCACAACACACCCTCCAGCAGCAGCAGCAAGGTGCCAGCCCCAGTGGGACACAGCTGGCTGGCTCAGCAGGAAAAGTGGGATCCCTCAGGGAGAACCACTGCCCCTGGAGCAGGAGGGTTGGCAAACCTGCAGTGCCCAGCTGGCCTCGCTCACCTTGTCTTCCGGACCATCCGAGAAGGAATTGGCCCCAAGATCCTCTCCATCATGGCCAGGTGCTCCCGGTTGTCATGTGTCTGGGAGGGAGAAATGTAAAGGGAAGGCATGGAATAGATTCCAGTGGTTCTGCCTCCAGCCCTGAGTATTCCCCCACCCAGAACCCCTTCCTAGCCAACACTTCGGGTATCTCTACAAGACTGCAGTGATGGAGGGACCCCATCAGTTCCAGGCCTCTGGGCTGTGCTGGGAATCCAGCATCATCTCCCAGTTGGGAAGTACCCACACAACACAGTTCTCACCTGGAAAAGGGTGAAACCCACATAATACTCAAAGATGATGCAGCCAATACTCCACACATCACAGGGTTGGCTCCAGCCAAGCTCTGAAAAACAATGTTGTTTAAATAAATGATCCAGTTACAAGCCAAGAATTCAAATGCCTCTTCCTTTTAAAAATAAATAACTTAAAAAACATGTCCTATTCCAGCCAGGCTCCTGGTGCTCTGCAGGCAATATACTGCCCAGCTGGCAGCAATGCCAAACCACCAGCTGACAACCATGGAATCATCAAGGTTGGAAAAGACCTTCAAGATCACTAACTCCAATCTGTGATCAATCCCCACCTTGACACCCAGTCCAGGACACCGAGTGCCACATCGAGCCATTCCTTGGACATTCCCAGGAATGGGGACTCCAAACCTCCCTGGGCAGCCCCTTCTAATGCCTGACCACACTTTCCAGGAAGAAATTCCTCCTGATGTCCAACCCTGGAAGAACTTGAGGCCATTTCTTCTTGTTCTGTCCCTTGCTCCCTGGGAGCAGAGCCCAACTCCCCATTAGAAAGTTGTGGAGAATGAGAGGGGTTCCCCCTGAACCTCCTTTTCTCCAGGTGGAACAAACCCAGAATAATGACAGGTGTGTAACCATGGCCTTCCCAGTAAACAGCACTGCAGAGCTGTTCAATAAAGCACTTCCCATCTCCCAGGGCAAACCCAGAAAGCTCCTGAATGATGTGGAAGCCCAAAACTCAAACCAAAATAAAAGTGGGCAGCACCCAGTGCCCTCTTGGGGCACACCTACCCAGGATGACTTCAGGGGCCCGGTAGTGCCTGGTGGAGACAATGGTGCTGTGATGCTCGTGGTCAAACGTGGCGCTGCCAAAGTCCACCACTCTGATGGCCGTGCTCTTCACACTCCGCTCATCCCGCTTCTGCAGGGGGCAGAATGGGATCATCACCTGGGAGCTCCAGCCCCTTCCTTACATAGCTGAGGACACCACGGGAGGGGAAAGTTTTGGCAGCCCTACAGCTCAGCCCCAAACAAGCTCCCACCACCAGCCAGATACACCTGGGGTCACCATAGCTCACTCAGCACTGGCAGATCATGCAAAGTCCTGAAGGACTGCAGGGAGTCCACATCCCCTGGGGCTGTGTGTCTGACCCCTCTGCAAAGGTCAGGGACATCAAGAATCCAAGAGGAGACCCAAGTCGAGGCAGTGTTACCTTTTCCAGGTTGTAGGAGAGCTCGTAATCAGAGTTCACGAAGAGGATGTTCTCTGGTTTGAGGTCAGTGTGGGTGAGTTTATTGTCGTGCAGAACTGAGGGAGCAAAGAGAATCAGGGATGAGGGCAGAGAAGCAGAGCAAGGCTGCACCCCCCAAAAAGCCACCACTGGTTCAGTTTGCTCATACTGGCACCAGCTTAACCCACATTTCAACCTGGATGTGAACAGCCAGGCAAAGCCCAGGCCATGATGCTCCAGTAGAAGCACAAAGATTTATTGTATTGATCACCAGAAGGTTCAGGGGGGTGGATGCTGGAGTGCTCTGAGCTACTGCCAGCCCACAAGCATCAGAAAATGAAGAGGATTTATTCCCAGAGGGGCAGAAAGGCTCAGACTCAGAACCACAGCAAATACTTGTTGCTCTGGACCACCAGTTGCAGAAGTGGAACTGACTGAGCTCCCCAGATCAGGGCAGAGCAGGGGAGAGCAGCAGGGAACACTTACACTTCACAGCCTGGCACACCTGGAAGGCCATGTGCCGTACTTGGTGGATGGGGTAAGGCAGGTAGTTGTTATCCTTCAGGAAATCAAAGGTGCTGAGCCCCAGCAGCTCGAAGGAGATGCACATGTGGCCGTGGTAGTCAAACCAGTCAAACATCCTGACACAGAGACTGACAGAAACATTCCATTTGGAACAGCTCTGCAGGCACCGCTCAGCTGGGTCACACCTGCATCAGGCTCCTCCTTTCCCAGCTCAGTCTGTATCCCACAGCAAGCCAAGATGCTTCGAAAACTATCTAGGATCACATTCAACCACACAACACCAAGCACTTGTCCCAGCCCAGCCCTGAAACTGGCCCTTCCTGCTGAACACCAAGAGCACACTCACTTTGTGTTCTCAGGATCCTTCTCGTTGATCTTCTCCAGCACGTTGATTTCCAGTCGAGCAGCCTCTTTGTATTTCTCCACGTTTTTAATGATTTTCAGAGCAACACGTGCACCACCCCTGTGGGAGAACAACAAGCACAAGGTGAGCCCTGAGTGGGTAAGAGGGGCTGTGCCCTGTGAAAGGGACCTTCTGACCAACCTCCCCAGCCTTGCTCAAGCAGGTTATTATTAAGGGTTGTCCACCAAAGCTGTGTCCTTTCCCTCCCTACAAAACATCCCTGCAGCTTCCCCCAGCACATGGGCAACACAGAGGGTGAGAGCCTGGAGCAGCAGAAGATACTGAAAACCAAGAGACTGATTTTCACCCCCAGGCTCCCACGTTATGCCCAAAAGGCTCCGTTGCCAGCTGTGGTCTCTCCTTTTCCCACATACCTCCGGTGATCCATGCACTGCACCACTCTGCCAAACGTGCCTTCCCCCAAGGTGCTGATAATCTCATCTGGGAGGGAGAGAAGGAGAGGGAAGGAGCTGAGAGAGGGAGCAGGACCTGGCTGCAGCAATACACAGGGCAGAGGAGAATGCATTGCAACACCTAACCTGCACACAGCTGGAGAGACCGGAGCAGCGGAAGGCTGACACCGGCTGCACAAGGCAGCTGCCCTAATTCCCTGGCACTTCAGTAACAATACACAATATAAACGTAGCTTTAACAAAAGGGGAAGGAAAAGGAGAGGGTTTCTCTTTAATAAACAATGAAAATAAAATGAAACAGAAAGATAAGACAGATCTGCGACTGCGATGGGAGCTTAACTAGAGAGCTAAATTATGTTACGATTTGGCTGTACATCTTTCTTGTAGCCAGTCGCCGACGCGATAGATCAGATGCCCCTCGTCGTCGTCCTCCACACTCTTGGCCCTTCTGCTGCTCTGTCGACTCCGCTGCTGGCCCAGGCAGACAGGGAATTCATCATTCACCAATCAGATTTTCAAACCAGCGCAGCAGCCAGCGTCACGCATTGGTTGGTTTGGAAATTCACATGGTTGTTTGAGGAGGGGTTGCAGGAGGAGATTCCCAGCCAATTCATACGGCACAGAGGAATATATAACGATAGGGATATTGCAAGGGAACATGTCAAGATACAACACACTAGCTCAGAAAAGAAAAAAACAGTTTGCTTTTCGTTGTAGCAAAAAAAAAAAAAAATTAAAAAAAAAAGGAAAAGAAAAAAATAAGAAAAAAATAAGAAAAAAAAGAACCTACAAACAGCCCCAACCCGAACCAGTGTGACAGCAGAGCTGTCAGAGTGAAGGAGCTGAGGGCATGGAAGGGGCCGGCTGCTCTCGCTCCCATGGGGGCTCAGAGAGGAACAGCACCGGCCTTCGGGTCCTGGGGACTGCCTGAGCACGCCGAGGGCCAGAGGCCACGGGGAGGGGCTCCCGGCAGCCCCACGGCTGCCACAGAGCAGGGGCAGCAGGAGGCAGGTGCCAGGAGGTCCTGCACAAGCCCAGGCTGCCCCCACAGGCACCCCCATCCCACTCCAATAACCGCCCACACAGCTTCCCCCAGCCCCGACACTCAGGGAAAGATGAATTCTGAGAATTCAGAAAAGCAGCTCTAGGTACAATGATCCATCCAAAACCGAAAGTTTGCAGTGACTGCCTGGGGAAAGACGGACACTTCCTCCTAGACCCTCCCCCAAAGAAGCTGATCCT